TTGGTACGTGTTGGTTAGTCTACAAACGTCGCCTAAAGTAATTGATTTTACCCGGCAGAACGAAAGAAGGAAACTCCGCTTTTCAGTCGTCTTAGGCCCTTGTTTTTTGACAAACAATGACCTTTCATAGGTCAAATTGCTGTCAAGAGTATGAATTGGCTGCTTCGCAGCAATAATTTAGGAGAGTGCGATTGCACCATCATGGATCCCCTACATCCGCCCCTCATCCGAATTAACATTTAGCAAGCTTTAAAACTGTTTTCCTTGGTAGTCATAACCTTGTTTAATATCATTTCATAGCATTATGTTGTGAATTATGTCAGAAATTAAGCCTATAATGCCTAATAATGGATATTATTCAAGATTTTTTAATTTGTATTTGCAAACATGGATAGTGGTTTCGTGATCCGTCCTTCAAAACAAAACAACCGGAAAAAGACGGTCGAAAAGTCACCCCGAAAAATCGTCAAATTTCGACAAAAACATGTACAGTAGGCCTATTACCCTTGTGCAATATGCGCTACCGTATATAAATGTACTAACATTATTATTATTTATAATTAATGCTTGCGGTACACCACGTAGATAGTTCTAAAAAAGAACTGTTGTTGTTGGTTGAGAATATCTCGACGTTTCGGTTGACTTGCTTCACCGTCTTCAGGAGAATAATCTGCAGAGATCTCAAACAGGATACTTATATGTTTGAGTGATGAGACTTGCTGCTGATTGGTTGAAAACTAAACAAAGGCTGAGCCTACCAAAGAGAAACTATACAAAAGCTAAATATTGACGGTCTGAATAGAAGGGACAGACTGAGGAAGTAATTGAGATAAAAACTTGGTTGAAATTAAAAAATAAATAAAAATCATAAAATTAACCTGTTATATTTTGATAAATTTCTGATTGTTGATTTGATTGCACAAAAATTTTCGCTCATTTTCCATCATCTTTTCTTTTAACTTTGATCCCGCTTTTGCTTTTAATGTAAAGCGCACAGAGGTTTCTAGCATTCTGTGCTATATAAAAATAAATCTAGTATTTATTATTATTATTAGCAATCAATGAGTCATTCAACCAACCAACATATCAACCAATCAACACATTAATTAATTAATCGATTATCAGTGAGCCAATCAATCAACCTATCAATCAACCAACATATCATATAATAATGGGGAGGATTTAAATTAGCCTTCACGTCAAGTAGGCCTAACCCTAACACCTGTGTGAAACTTGTAAATCAATGACTTGCAATGCATACGCAAAAAGAAAAATATCTAATCAGTCAATCAATCGATTAAACAATGATTAATTCAACCAATCTATCAATCAACATATAATATTAATTAATCAACATAGCAAACAACTATCTAAAATTGTTTGATATTCCAATCAATCTATAAATCAACTTATCAGGCAATCAATTAATTTAGTGATCAAGCAACTAATTGATCGATCAATCAATCAACCAACCAACATATCAATCAATATATTAATTAAATATATCAGTAAAATTATCACTCCAACCACTCATCAATAAGTCAATCAATCTATCAATCAACCTGTCAAATAATCAACATATCAATCCATCAATCCAATCAATCAATTAATCAATAAACAGAAATATTAATTAGTCATATTAATAATAGTTAAGTAGTTCAAATAAGTTGAGTAAACAAAAAGTAATGAAAGGAAACAACACTTTTAAAGATTATGTGATATTTATTCGCCCAAAATTCACCAGATATAGACATAAAAACTGGTTTTTAAAAATAAGTTATCACACTTTGAGACACAGATTTAACAAAAAACACTTATTTTGCTGATTTGCATAATTATTTCTACAAAATGTTGATTACCATTCAATTTCAATGACCATAGCTCTAAAATAATTATTGGTGAGATATTTCTGTTTCAAGGTTTTAATTAAAAACTAAAAATATAAAATAGATAGTTATTAGCTCACCACACTGAGAAAAATTAGAGGTTTTGATTAAGATGACTTGACCATAAGAAAATCCATTCGTCAGTGATTGACCTGCATTCTCAGTGCAACCTACACTGAACCCACAGTCACATCATACAATACAATAACGTGCGTAGATGACTCATTTATTACATACTAATTGTCTTTGCACCATCAAAAACTACATGATTATTTATTAAACAAAACACCAGCACATCTGGTCTGTAAAGAAAGTATTATCTACAAATATAAATGAAATAATTCCCCCCTCCCACACCTTAAAGCATTTTGAGATTTGGCACCAATATTGGTTATTAGAGGCACACTTCAAAGATTAACATACTTGACCCCAAACAATATTAAAATTATATAAAATTATACAAGCAGTTAAAATGCAATGATAACTTAGATAATGGTAATATAATAATAATACGAAAATAGCCAATAATAATAATAATCAATAATAATAGTAATAATACTAATTCTACCAAATTAAAAAGTATTTCACATGAAGGTATGTATTTTTGGACTTAAATTAAATACAGTAATACTATTTATTAATTATGATCATGATAATGTAAACGCCAATCTAACATTTGTAATTGTAAAAATTTGTGTTGTAAACAAGTTTTTAGTTGATCATCCTGTATATATAATTCTCTAGTTTTAATTCATATTTCCAAAACATTATACTGCTAGTTCTGCGGCCATGCAAATTCAATAAAACCAATTTAAATTATTATATTGACATATTTACAAATAATTTCTAAAATCTAAAATAACACAACTGTTAATTTCCATTTGGACAGATGGTATTTTTTTTATTTATATATACATTTTTTAAATAAAAAATCCACTTTGTATAAATGTTATATACACATTCTTAAGATTTGAAAATATTTAATATTATGTATCAAATTACCAAATTTTCAGAAAAAAATTGAAAAAAATTACTAAAATTCAAGATGTGTCATATAAAACCCATGTAAAATAGGCCAAGAAAAACATGTTTCCTGTCACCACATTCTTACGTGGGCCATAATTATTTTTATAATCCAAACCACCAAATAAATAAATCCTAGATATACGATCATCCTCTTAACCAATGCGTGTGTACATAAAGCCATAGAGTTATTATAAGAATAATAAGCCGCGGAATCTCTTTGCATTCGATGTTAAAAACATGAGGTTGTGTATCAGTACTCAACAAAATAGCCGTCATATAATCAGCCAATCAAACCTAAGCATCGTTTCACGAGAGAGCCTTGCAATATGTGAGGAACAATATTCGATTGTATACTACCAGGGAACAGTTAACTGTTCCCTGGTACTACAGTACACTATACTGTACTTTATTTCTATATCAATTATTCTACTCGGCCGCTTCCTAACTTAGTTCTAGTGCTAATATTTTATTTATTTTCTTATTATTAATAAATCATTAATTACATAGATTTATTCCATATACTAGGCCTAAAGGCCAACTCAGACAGCGTCGTACGACGCAGCCCGACGCAATTTGTCGCGTCGGGTCTGTGTGAGTTGAACGCAGACGCGATGGTGTGCGTCAGGGGCAGTCGTGTAGTAGAATATTAAACGTGTTTAATATTTCTCACGACGGCTTAAGACTGTCCCCGACGATAAATCAGGTCGGGCTGCGTTGGCCGACGCTGTCTGAATTGGCCTTAAAGGTGGTGCTTTTAATAGGGTGGCCATCTAAAAGAGCACCGATAAACAACTCTGCTTAGGCTTCATTGCACAGTAAGCAATCTAGTTGATATACCAAGATATATGACTATTAAGAGAATGTTGACCATATTTGTTGAAAAATACAAAAAGAAGTTTCATTGTTCACAAAGAAAAGAAAATGATAAGAAATACATTTTTTACAATTACATTCCGCCTTAGTACTAAATATTACCTAGCAACACACTCACTTTTATTAAAACCAGGTAGCAAAATTTATTAAAAAGGACACACCTTCAGTATTATTACATAATATTACATAATTTAAAAAACTGACTTGCATTAAAATATCTTTGTACAAGGAGCTTATTTTTTGTAAAAAGCACAGAGGTAACCTACCATGGAAGCTCAGATGTAATTGGAGAATAATACAAAATTGTTTTATTATGCAGCAACACATTCTCATATGCAGTGGTGTATCTAGGAATATTGACATGTGCGGTGGGGAATGGCTGATGGTGGGTTTGAATGTTAAGCAGAGGGGGATTGAATAATTGAGGTGTACTAGGTGATATGAGGTGAATTTCAACCAAATTTTTGGCTCAGAAAATTTCCAGTTGTTTTATTTGTGGGGTGGGGGGGGGTAAGGTGGGATGTTATCTTATCCCCGCAATAGATACACCACTACTCAAATGTAACACCTGAAGTTTCTTTAGGTAGGAGGACATTCCAGGTCAAATTATGGATCTTAACTATAATTATAAGTGATAAATATACCCATCTTAAAATACAGAAGTATGACTACTAAGTTCTTTCGTAGTCTCAACTGAGCATGACTTTGTCTAAGGTCAAATACAGTAACAAAAACGTTCATACGTTTTAAACAATTGTTGATTTTTACAGTAAAATAATCAAATATCTTTATAACTATCAATTTTTAATAAAACTTTAAAATTCAGTGCTGACCAACATAGGCCCTATGTCATGTGATTCGTTTGTTTATGTGACTTGATCTTCAACAGACTTAACCTTTGACACAGACTTGACCTTGACATGAACGGATGAAACTTCGAAATGGCTTATACCTGACCTTTCACAAGAAAATAAATTGTTAAACCTCCTGTTAAATTGAGATTTTTTTTTATTTTAGTGAAAATGTGTTCTCATCATTTTCTAATAGTAAAAAAGCTAGAGTGTCTTCATGACTACACATTTTTTTTTTGTTATCAAGAACAAAACATGAATTTAAATTTAATAAATACTATATACACAGAAGTGTTATAAAATAAAAGGCTATCTTTGAAGCCTAAGTTTTTCCAAATTCTGTATACTTATAGAAAAAGATTTTGAAGATATGTAATGCAATACACCATTAGTATTTAAAAAAAGTATACAAGCTCATGTTTGAAGTCATACTTTTCTAAATTCTGTATTCATGACCATCTCCAATTATGTGTATCTACACAGGTCAAATTGTAATATAAATGTTGTATCATATACAGTACTAATAGTGATAATACATACCACAGTTGTGTTCTCATTTTTTGGTGAAAGGTCACATATTGTTAAAGTCTGTACATTTAATACAATTGTTTAGCTACAACTATGATTTAAAATACTATTTGGTTATGCAGTACCTGACAACCTATTGCATGTAGTTAAAAAAGATTTGGAAAACATTAAATTTAGTGATCCTATATTACTTTTTGGTGTCATACTTTTGGGAGTGGAGCTGTACCTCGGCTGTAACATGCTGTACTTCCAATTCCACAATCCTTTTGGCTCACGCAGCATTGTTTCATCCTTTCATTGGGTATTAGATGTGTGAAGGGAACAAATTAAGAATTAGCAAGACTTCAATCATATCGGTTTTCCAACTTGTGGTTGCTTTTTGCAAATAAGGAAGACTTTTGCCCCATGGGGAAGGCTTTTATCCAAACTCCATGACCCATTACCAGGGTACACCACTACATGTACTGCATTATTCAATGCCCTGGATTGTTAGTACTACTCTTACACACTTACAGTATCTTTAAAAAAATGAGTAAAACATTTCATAAGGATTTTTTTTCCAAGAAAGATTAATTAAACTGCACTTTAATAATTACGTTAATTAATTAAAACATTCACACATAACTAACAATTAACAAGGGACTTATTTTTTTAAATGAGCACCAATAATGGGACCATAATAGAGAAACAAAAAAAAATAGTAAAACAAATAAAAATTGAACCACTTCTAATTAAAATATACAAGAAATAATGCTGCAATCCAGTGTGCCCATTACATGACCATGACGAGTGCACAGGGGTGAGCATCGTGAAAAGTGTAGAAGAACGTCCAAGTAGACATACTGTATAACTACACATGCTAAACACATGTCACAATTTGCCCTGTAGAATCTCAAACTTTACAATCATATTACAAGTTCAGTAAATCATAATAATGTTAACTTTAAAGAAATATTAACACAAATGGGATAATTTATTTTTCCAATTGGTTTAAAAATAATGCTGATACCATTGAGTTGGATCTTAATGCTCTGTCTACACAATCAAAAGTGTTGTGACAAATATATGTGGTTTGTCCATATATGACATAACCATGCTCATATATGGATGTGATATGACATCACCATGCCTATACATAAATGTGACATGACATCACCATGCCTATACATGGATGTGACATGACATTACCATTTCCATATATAGATGTGATATGACATCACCATGCCTATATATGGATGTGACTTGACATCACTATGCCCATATATGGATGTGACATGACATCACTAAGCCCATATATGGATGTGATATGACATCACCATGCCCATACATGGATGTGACATGACATTACCATGTCCATATATGGATGTGATATGACATCACCATGCTCATATATGGATGTTATATGCAACACCATGCCCATATATGGATGTGATATGACATCACCATGCCCATATATAGATGTGATATGACATCATCATGCCCATATATGGATGTGATACAACATCATCATACCATATATGGATGTGATATGACATCATCATGCCCATAAATGGGTAATTGAAATCACACTGTGGAGAGAGCTATGTAAGTGGTGATCAGTACTGGCACAATTTTCAAGGGCTCACTGGAACACAGTATATATTCAATCTCGGAAGCCTATCGTATAATATGACCTAGAATGTCGTTCCATAGTACCTCTGTGCTAAAGATCCGGAAACCTGTATGGATCCTCTTTGTAATCCGATGGGATTCTGAAGAGGTGGGGAGGTATGTTTTCACGAAATTGGCAGTCTTGAAATGTAACACGAGCGCTTATTGTTGGTAAGACTGGAATATCTGAAAAGAACAATCATAAGCTATCATCACCACCACCATTGGTATCATAATCATTACCAATGCCACCACCTCACCATCAAAACCTTCATCATAACTACCATTACCATCATCATCACCAATACAAAAAAAATATTGTTTGCTTGCCCTCCTTCACCCACCCCTAACTCACTGAAAAAAATAGGGGTGGAAAAACAAAAAAACTTAAAAAAAGTTTTTTTTAGCTTTTTTCTTTACAAATAAAAAAAAAATGTGAGTGAATTTATATTTATTTTTCGCCAGATGCCCAACAAATTAGTCTAAAGTTGTTGTCTGATGTAAGACATCGCCATTCTAGGCCTCTGTGGGTTATTTTTATTCCATCTGATGAGTATTTTAAAAAAATAAGTAAATTTAAAAAAAAAAACTTTTTCCACCCACCCCTATTTATCATTTTTAAAAAAGAAGGGCAAACAAACAATTCATATTATTTGGCCTTACCATCAATACCAAAGGCAGCACTATCATGGCTATCATAATCATCACCATACTACCACCTCACCACTGCAAATGCTATCACCACCAACATCATCATTATAATTACCAACAGGACAATCAGACATTACCATCACCATCAGCATTTTCACTATTACAACTATCAACACCACTCAACCACCATACCATAATTTGAACTCATCATAGAATAAACACAATATACATATGAAAGTAGACAACACATGTAAACCCCCCTCAAAAGTTTAGACAATCCCAATCACTATGCATATAGTATATCAACTATGACCTTATTTAAAAACCATCTGATTCACTTTGCAAAATTTGATATGAACTGACTGAGACTTAAACCCTGTCCAGATTATTAAATATTCTTTGACAGAAAACTGTTGTATGCCCATATATAGTAATGATATGCCTATATATGATAATGATGTGATGTCATCATGACCAAATATAGGCATATCACAGAGTTTGGACAGGGCCTTACCGATTTTAACTGGAAATCCTGGTGGTAGCTTCATTTCAACGAACTCCCTGAGCTTAGAAAAATGTTTCATTGGAGTAATAACTTCTAGAACATTCAGTAGATCTCCCACCTGGATAGGAAAGTCTTCACTCTACGAACAAATATTTTGCAGATTTTACTTTGAATAATAATAATAATAATAAAATGTGTTAACCAATTTCCAGCAGGAAACATTTGGCACCAACTAAAGTTGGTAGTCAGACTTCAAATGTGAATTAAAATGCACGGTACCAAAAATATAAACCATGAAATTGTTCCTATCTAAACTTGGAAAATGATAAAAAGAAGCAACCTGTGCTGTGAAAATACCTTTAATATTAGCAATACAATTTCATATTTGTTTGATGATTACATAAATTAACATAACATTTTGTCTAAAGGCATGTATTTGCTAAATACCATTGTCTGAATTTTAATGGTTGAATTGTACTGTATTTTACATTGTTCCATCTGGTCTATGATTCATATTGTTGTATTTAATTACACTGTACTATTAAGATTACATGAATTTTACTGTTGATAGATAGACCATCTGGATCTGACTCACTAACTTCACAGTAAAGATTATCTCATAAGAAACCTAGGAATAATTATTACTTTCCTATGCATTACTCTCACTATCAAGTTTTATGTGAGATTAAACCAAAATCTTGGTATTTCAAAGAAAACATTTTAACAACTCCATAACACAATTATAAATATACTTACCATAGCTAATGTGGCTTTAAAACATTTTCTACTCTCTTTGCAAATCTGTGGTCTGCCAAAGCGGGGGTCTGTTTCGGACATAATATACTGCTGCCAAGATATATCACATGAGGATGGTGGGGTCAGGCTAGATCTGTACAGAGTCTAAATATAACAAAGACAAAGGTAATCATGATAATGAAGATTGTGAAGAAGATAATGAATACTGTATAAAGATGATAATGATTATAAATTTAATAATTAAAGTGAATATAGGGAAGTTATTAGTGGTAAAGAAAAACATGATGATGATAATAATGATGATGATGATGATTTTGATTATGATGGAAATAAAAATTATAATGAAGATGCAGTAAATCTTTTTTTTTTCTAAATTAATATTTGACCAGAATGTCCTGCTCAGCATTTTCAGTGTAGTCCTCTCACAAAAACTTGTAAAATCCAAAGAAAATAAACTACAATTCTTTTAAAAACAAAGAAAAACAACAATGATGATGATAATGTTGATGATGATAACAATAATGGCTAGTGATGTGATCATTTATAAATGAAACTAAGGAATAAGCCCAATGATGACTAATAACAATAATGAATATTAAATGATGATAATAACAATGATTTAAATAGCACACAATAGACAATTAGAGCATTCCGTACCTCATTAGTTCCATCCAAAACTTCTCCTTTGCTTAAACTCTCTACTGCAGCTTTGTTACGTTGAATATCTTCATCAGACAGGTGTTCTCTCCTGGGGGAAAAATTGATGAACCAAGAAACTTCAATTAATTATTAGTTATTTATTATTTATTCCAATCCAAATGCCAATCATCACCACTAACAGACTGGTATAAAAATCTTAACTAAAAACACAAACATTATTATAATATAATGTAATATAACATTAAACAATGAAAAAATTGCCTATAAGTTGCAAAGCATAAGTGTCAGAAATGTTGAAAAACTGTTGTTTATAAAAATATTAATACCATTGGTAAATGGAATTAATTTTATTAGAATTCTAGAAAGAAAACTACATTTACAACCATCCACTCCACTAAAAGGAACATTAAAAAACAGGACAAGAATGCAAATTTCAGGTTATGATAATTAAAATTATAAGAAAATAAAATTAGAAAACGAATAATTAGTTGAATAGAAATTTGACAGGAACTGATGTAGGTTTACAAAGACAGATGGAGGGAACATTGAAAACTTTTGCTTACAAGAGAGAATACAGCTTTTAGTTACCAATCTCAAGTGGAAATAGCTTAGCAGAACTTGCTATGTGCATGCCTAATTATTCTTTATTCAGCCTTGAGAGGCAAACTTTGCTTGTGAGCTTAAGTGAATATTGCTAGTTTGCATTACATTTTTAAATCATTAATAATTGAATCATTAAAATTAAATGTAAGCTTACCTCTTACGTGATTCAATAATTATCCCCTGTACCAGATAAAAATCGGCAGGAAAGATGCCTACTGATTCTCGTTTATCTTCTCGGAATATCCAACCCGTTTGTGCACGGCAAAACACAATGGGTTTAGTTGACATAGTCGCAGTTAAAATGTCGCTGCTCATTAGTATATCTACTTCTTCTTCAAGTTCACTTTCTGATTCCTGTAAAAACATATAAATAAATACTGTATATAAAAATATATATAAAGTACAAATTAATATAAAAAAGACTAGTTGCAGTGAAAATCTGTACAGTAGTTGTAATGTAATGTCCATGTATTTTGTACTGTGCCTTTTCCAGTGGATTCAAAGCTCTAATTCCAAAAAAAAAACAAAAAACAAAGGAATAATTGAAAGCGAATGTTTGTATTGAAATAATATTAAATAAAACATTGTGTTATACCAACCAAAATGTTGGGACAGTGTCACTTTTACATGTGGATATATGCATACTTTAGTTGATAATATAGAAAATATAATTAACCGATAATTAAAAATATATTGCATGTGGTACAAATCTGGACGATTTTTGGAAATTTATGCATTTGACAAGCCAACAAGTACTTTTTCAAGCCTTGGTACACATGTGTATCTATTCTACTATAAAGTCAATTATTGAAAAGAAAAAAAAATATTTACCTGATCATAACTCACTCGTTGGAAGACTTGTTGATCGTTGTCTAGTACAATAAGAGCGTTGCGTGACTTAGCGCTTCCGTTAAATATAAAACTAATGTCCCCCCTCTGCCACCTCATATCACTGAAGTCAATTAAAGTGGTATCAACTCGTATACTAGTTCCTTTCTTGTAAATTTTGCATACATCTGACGGTAGAATTCTTGACACAAGTGGAACTATAAAGGTGAGTAATATGTACTTTTAATCAATTAGTTTAATAAATAATACAAAGTCAGGTTAAAAAATGTATTAAGAAAGTATTTCATTCTTTTTTTTAAGAAGAAATTTAAAATGGTTTTAATTATGTTTTTAAAATATTATATCTTATCATAGGCAGACCTATAGCTGGATTCCCTAAGGCAGGGGTGGGCATAAACATTGGTCAGAAGGGCCAAAGCTATTTTTTTTATTTAACACCGAGGGCGCTGCACCCAAACTTTGATGTTTCCAGTGTGCTTCCAAAAACCTTCCTGCCCTGCTTTCACACCACTTTATTCTCAGTTTTATTATTACTTTTTACAGATGATCGATGTCAAGCAGTAAAAAAAAAGTTGTTTTCTAGCCAAAGATGTTTGGCAGGCCACACACGAGGTAATTTTAATTTTAATTTCCGCGGACCGCAAAAAAAATCACTGACAGGCTGCATGCGGCCTGCAGGTCACACTTTGCCCACCTGTGCCCTAAGGGGGTTCTTATGAGAGCAAGAAATCTAGGGATAAATAGACAACCTGATGAAATCCAGGGGAAGATCTTTAGTGAAGGTCAGGGTACCAAGTCCTTAGAACCAAAGCTGCTTAGCATGTATATGATGAATGGTCGTTGTGTTGAGTAAATATTTTAGTTGTTGTTATGAAATCATATCTGGAATTAATTAATTTTTAAGGACCACAATGGAAGTTTGACTATTAAGTTACTTTATTGTGATTTTATCCTTGAAATTTTTATACTGTATATGAATTTCGAATAAAATGAAATGAATTCTATTTTGATGGTTTGGAGTTGGTGGTTTGGTTCATCAGAGGGGGTTCGCTTGAAAAGAAAGGGGTAGAGAGCAAACCATAGAAACCCACCCTAGTTATGGGTCTGACAGTACATCAATCAATTAATCAATTAATCAATCAACACGCTATCAAAGCTCTGTCCATACTATCAAATTTTCTTTGACAAAAAAAACTGCTGTATGCCCATATATAGTCATGATGTGCCTATATATGGTCACAGTGTGATGTCATCATGACCACTGATATAGTCTGAACAGGGCTTAACTAACTTTAATTGAGGTAATGATACTAAGAATGATTGCAGAATAAACACAATGCTTACCCCAACTTTGGAAGTCCCATTTCAGTTCAAGGTAAAAATCAGCAAGTTCCCCGAGGGCTTCTATCAACTCAGGTCGTTTACCTTCCAGCATTTCCCTAGATTGGGACTTCAACTTCCGTAAAAGACATTTGACTGAAAAAAAAAAATTGAATAAAACCAATCATATTCTTGATACTCAGTGAATGTGATGACATTGTTCTTGTTTAAGTCAGGTCAATATAAGTTTGAAAAAAAGGGCACAGTTATGTTTGTTACAGTAACAAACTATACATGTATATGTACTATTTTAATATAAAAAAATTAAAATACATTATTTATTATTCAAGTAGTATCTTATAAATATTAAATTCTATAAATTTTCTGATCTATCTAGAAATGTTTATGATATACAATGTACTAACATTTCATTGTTTTTGGACATTCATTTGGCTCTGTGTACTGTAACAATAATGAAGGGCAGGGTATAAAGTTTAACCCGCACTATTACGTTTTATGTGCAATAATCAGGGAGTTGCCAAAATACTGTATGGATGTAATATTGTCCATATATTGGCAAATCACATAGATACTTGGAAGAATTTCATCTAGTCTACACGATTTACAGTATACCATTAATAGTATACTAAATCACATAGGTGTTTACATAAAAACATAAATCACATAGATGTTTACATAAAAACATAGCATGATGAGAGGATTTGTAATTCTTACTGATTTGTCTGTCACCATAGCTTATTGCTTCTGACAACGGGGTCCAGCCCTGGTTGTTCTTCACCTTCACGGGTGCATGGTGGTTAAGAAGTAGATGTACACATTCTATAAAAAGAAAACCCCAAAACAAATATATAACACATTTAAAAAAACATCATTTTTACTTTGTAGGATGAATGTAAAAATATACAAATATTTTAATTAAGTAATTATTTGAATAACTGCCCCGCTTTGAATAAACGCACCGTCTAGAGCTTCATTTGGAATAAACACCTCCTTCAAATAAATGCCTCAAGGCATTTATTTTTTCCCTCGAATAAACGCCCCCTAATTGAGTGTAAACAAATCAAATGTCAGCAACATCATTCTCAGCAAGTTCTATAATGTTCCAGTAGAATTACATTTCTTCTAACCTGGTTGGGAGCAATAAATCTTTATGATCATGATATGTTAAACAAACTTTAATGGTAATATTTACAGTTAAATTAAGAGGCATTTATTTGAGTATATACATATCCATTTTACACCAAAAATAAACGTCTCCCTCGAATAAACGCCCCATCAAAAACCCCTTTCAACAATATACAGCCCGGGGTGTTTATCTGATTAAATATGGTATATATTTTTTATTCATGAATTGAAGACATACACTGAAAGAAAAAGATAAGGTACTACTGTATATACAAGCTAAGACACCAATAAGTTCATTATAAAAACTATCAGTAGTTTCAACTGCATATGCATATCAAAAGTCAAATATTTATTTGCCTGCTGCAGACTTGATCTTTTGAAGAAGACATGTGCAGTTTAAACTACAAGATGTATTCACTTATAATTAAGTATACCAGTTTAAACCTTTTAAAATCCAAAAAAGAATAGACCACTGTCATGTTTACTAGCATCACTCCATGCAGAATCTAAATTTAGTAATGATTATAAATAGTGATTTTACCGCTGCACTTATGCACTTAGTGGGAGCGGTCGGGGCAACAGTTGCTGTTTGGGCTTTCGAAGTTGAGGTCAGGGTTTTGAATCCCTCGCTGTGCATTTTGCTTGTGTCTTAGACAAAGGACTTTATCTACATTGTCTCTCCACTTAGGTGGGTACCTTGTTCTGAATGCCAAATGAGCTGATTAGCTGCACTGCAACGATATGGAATACTCATAGGAAGCTGAGGACAATATGCAGGGGCAGATTTATAGGGGGACCATCCCACCCCCACTTTTGGAAAAAAAAAAGAAAAAAATTGATCACTCAAAAGACTCAGATTTTGTAAGGAATTCCCCCAGAACCCTAGGTATTGTTATCTCGATCGGCCCCACTTTTTCCCCCCTTCCTCTTGATCCGCCCCTGGTATGTGTCCCATCCTGTATTTAATCCAATCAGTGGCGTATCTAGAAGTCTTGACATGGGGGTGCTGATTGGGGGCCGAAGGTGCAGGGGGCTCAATGACCAGTTGAGGGGTGCTAATTCGCAAAATATGGTGATTTTAGGTGATTTTAAAATACTTGACCGTGAATTTGGGGGGGGGGCAAAAGTAATTTTTCTGGGGGACGTACGTCCAACCACGCCCTTCCATAGATACGCCACTGAATCAAATAACTGAAGTTATGATTATGTGAAGCACATAGAGGCCTAAGCATGGCGGCTACAGTATACAAGTCTAATATTTATAGTATAGTGATGCATGTAAACAAAGCAAGGAATCGTAAAAAAAAAAAACAAAAAAAAAAAAACCATACCAATGAGTTCTACGCATTTCATTCATTTGTCTCAAAAGCACTAAAATTTACAATAAAGAAACAGCAAGAAACAAGCAAAAACAATATGAGACAAGACACCCCGAATGTGAACTACATCACAGTCGAGAATACAGTAACTGAGAGAGCAATGTAATAGAAGTAAAATATAGAATATAATTATTTAAACATTATACTTTTTCTTCAGAATATTTGTAAAAAAACATACATAAATTTTAATTTAGTAAACGATTGAAGGAATTTCATCACCAAAATAATCATCCGACCGAAACTTAGAAATGAGCAAAAAACTGTTGTGGGCCCAGTATAATTGAAGAATACCTTATCATTAGTTGCTATGGTTCTCAGGATTACTCTACAGTATATTATCTCTTCATTCAGTTTGCTAATCCGTTCACCAACCAACACATTTACACAAAAAATATGTACAAAATAAATATATAGAATTATGAAGATTCATCTTACAGTCAATTAAAATACACTTTAGCAAGTGCACAGTAAATATTTTTTACACACACTCTAAATGCTCCATGACACTTGATGCTTTACAATGAAATATCAAAGTTCTATTATCAACATTCAGTTGACTACTACAGAAGTAGTAAAAATGATATTGCAAAGAGCTAATCAATTGTTACTTCCTTGTCCAAGAAAACAGTTGGTGTTTTACAACTGAATAGTGGCAATCTACCATGTGTGGTGCTGGCTCCACCAATGATAGGGGTCCATGCTAGCCTGATAAGAAAAATTTCCCACCCCTCGACACAGCCACTAAGGCGTAAAAAAAAATGTTATGTTGGCGTGACTAGACCAACCCTAAAAAATTGGCCGACCCTAGACATTTTTATTTAAATTTCACAATATACGTTTACATGCGCAAAGGTCGAGCGTCACTCACAATGTTTCAAAAGTCATCAAAAGGAGAAAAATATGACAAGTAGGGGCTTTAAAGGCTTAGTTGATTGATTTTATAGATTTCAAGGGCTTTGCTGAATATTGTGGCAAAAAAAAAAAAATTACATACAGTCGAGAATACAGTAACTGAGAGAGCAATGTAATAGAAGTAAAATATAGAATATAATTATTTAAACATTATACTTTTTCTTCAGAATATTTGTAAAAAAACATACATAAATTTAAATTTAGTAAACGATTGAAGGAATTTCATCACCAAAACTCAATTTTTGGGGTTAAATTGACTCCTTGGAAATAATTTCAATAGACCACAAATCAATAAAGACCACACAAAAATTCTATAAATAATCATTCCTTTATTTTTTTTCACAAAATACATTATTCTCTTATCTTTACACGTATAAACCTGTCTCTTATACACATCTATGAGTTCTACGCATTTCATTCATTTGTCTCAAAAGCACTAAAATTTACAATAAAGAAACAGCAAGAAACAAGCAAAAACAATATGAGACAAGACACCCCGAATGTGAACTACATCACAGTCGAGAATACAGTAACTGAGAGAGCAATGTAATAGAAGTAAAATATAGAATATAATTATTTAAACATTATACTTTTTCTTCAGAATATTTGTAAAAAAACATACATAAATTTAAATTTAGTAAACGATTGAAGGAATTTCATCACCAAAATAATCATCCGACCGAAACTTAGAAATGAGCAAAAAACTGTTGTGGGCCCAGTATAATTGAAGAATACCTTATCATTAGTTGCTATGGTTCTCAGGATTACTCTACAGTATATTATCTCTTCATTCAGTTTGCTAATCCGTTCACCAACCAACACATTTACACAAAAAATATGTACAAAATAAATATATAGAATTATGAAGATTCATCTTACAGTCAATTAAATGATATTGCAAAGAGCTAATCAATTGTTACTTCCTTGTCCAAGAAAACAGTTGGTGTTTTACAACTGAATAGTGGCAATCTACCCTGTGTGGTGCTGGCTCCACCAATGATAGGGGTCCATGCTAGCCTGATAAGAAAAATTTCCCACCCCTCGACACAGCCACTAAGGCGTAAAAAAAAATGTTATGTTGGCGTGACTAGACCGACCCTAAAAAATTGGCCGACCCTAGACATTTTTATTTAAATTTCACAATATACGTTTACATGCGCAAAGGTCGAGCGTCACTCACAATGTTTCAAAAGTCATCAAAAGGAGAAAAATATGACAAGTAGGGGCTTTAAAGGCTTAGTTGATTGATTTTATAGATTTCAAGGGCTTTGCTGAATATTGTGGCAAAAAAAAAAAAAAAAAAAAAAAAAATTTCCTACCTTATGTCTACCTAACATTTTCTTAAAGGCCTAATCGTTCAGATATTCTCAACCAACAACAGTTCTTTTCAGAACTTTCTACGTGGTGTACTGCAAGCATCAATATATACTATTACTTTGCCATGCAAACCTTCAAACCATATCATGTGACTATTGCAACAAAATCATGGTGATTATAATGAATATGACTAAATCATGTGACTACTTGTGACCACTTTTTTATCACTTTTGTTTTGGATTGGATTTATTCGGTGTAAACACCAAGGATAGCCCACGAAAGTCTTGAAGAAGACTTATTTCCAGTGGGGTCCCCCTGGTGGTGAATGGGCAGAACACTGGGAGACAATCCCCTACTCTTATCCGAAGAGTGTACTGCATTCTTTAACATGCACATGGGCCATCAATGCACACAGGACCAACAGCTTCTAAGTCTCATTCAAAAGATGGTGCGCTACTATAACTTGTATTTCAGCCCTCCAGCTGAAATACAAAAAGAGGGAGTGATGGGAATTGAACCAGGGATCCTAGAGATCTCCACGGTTCAGGGCACACACTGTGGCTATCACCAGATTAGCCGACTGAGCTAAGCTACTCTAAGTTTCTCATCACTTTTTTTTAATTTGATGTTATATTTATAGATATATTTTTATTGTATGTGCCAAATTGTATGATACCATATTTTAACTATTGTCAAGTATAAAGCCAGAATTGGCTAATCTCATTTGAGAGTGTGACCTAAATAAAGTTCATAACTAACTGTGAATTATTTCATGCGATTACCGGACTGACATTATATAACTACTTAAGTTAGTGAATCATTTGACCACATCATGTGAGCGAATCTTAACTTTTCCAGCTTACCTTTATGTCCTAGGATGACTGCAAGATGAAGAGGTGTATTACCTGTGTAGTTAGGAAGTGAGAAACAAAATATTATAATTATATTCAACAATTTTTTGTTTGGCATAAATACAAACATTTAATATGTTACTGATAATCATCAGTAAAAGACTAATCATATTTGCCACAAGCTTCAGTGTACTGCTTTATAGTTACGATATTAAACATTAAATAACGTTAACACTAACACAAATCTAACACTCCAGCCTAGTATCAATCTATATTAAAAAATTAGAATTTTTTTTCCCCCCCTTCACAGTAAATGGTTAGGTCTAAACAGGCTGACTTACTGGCTGGCGTGCATTTCGATACTTGGAGTATGTGTTATACGATCTTATCTAAGTAAGATTAATCAGTGGACCTTTCGTTTTCTGGCTTACTGTGTTAAGACAGGCTCCACTGTGCCCGACGACCATCGGTCAACGCAATTCCATGAAGTATGCAACGCAACGACTTGCGCACAACGTATCCTTTTTAATGACTATCTGTTTAGACGACCACTGACAATCAACAGACAACATCGCTTTGCCTAGCGCTCACAGAAAGGGGAGTTTCGAAAGCTTCGTCGTACGATGCAGTGAAATGCCCAGATTTAGGTTTATGCCGAGTGCACAATGTGTTGAATGAGTTGCGTGACAAAATCTTTTTCAAAGACCAAGCCTCCCAAGCTTCCCCCCCCCCCCCATTTGCAGGATTCTCCTGAAAATCAGGAAGGCATCATGTACTCTTGAAAGCAAGTCAAGAATGTCTTGGAATATACCCCAACTCCTACAAATTTACGGTTCATGTTTTTACTAACTGTATTGTCTACTGGAATTCAGTGCACGTGGTATCACCATGCACAGCAAAATAGAATTAAATGTGGTTTTTAAAGAGCTCATTTAAACAGGTCCTCTGGAAGCAGGGGTTTAGCCGGAAAAAGGCCGTCCAAAACGGAAGACAAAGAACAGGTGAGGGGCTTGGCCCCGAACAAAGGTGGGTTTGGGGCGTTCCCCCTCCAAACGTAAGAAAAACATAGAAAATTATGACCTTCAGAGTGCATTTAAAGGTGTTTAAAAGTTGGAATTCTGTTTTCAAAGAAATAGTGTTGAATTACAGTAGCTCTATCTCAAAGATATTTCAGTTTAAAATAGCCCTTGCCTGGAAGTGAGTTCTTCCCACTTGGGACCCCTGACTTACAAAGTGACACCCTCTTTAGATCATGGAGGTATAATTTTTATACTGCCATGTTCAGATCTTCAAAAAATTTCCAAAGGTTGGAACAAAGGAGGTGGAATTGAGCTTGGTAAACATGCAGGTTGTTCATCAAGTTTTATTAAATTTTTATGTTAGTGTAAAACTGGACAGATGTTCATATAATTTTTGATAGTTTTAACATGACTACTGGGATCAATGCCTGGAATTGAGATTCATAGGCAGGATTTTTAAAGCAGGATTTTAATTTTTCACAAAAGGGCACTTTGAGTCCTTACCCACATCAGCCCCACCATGGCTGGGGTAAATTTTAAAGATATAACACCTCAGATGTCCAGAAATGGCAATAAAAATTCCAAGTTTAAAATATTTGTAGTTAATTTCAAAAACTTTCAGGCAAATGGTACCTTTTAATAATAATTCAAAAAGGCATTTCTGGAAAAGGGGAACCTCTCGAGCCCCCTGGCTACGGGCTTGATAGGTTTGATATAACTTAAACGTATTGGTGTTGCATATTCTGTTTGTCCCTGGTTCAGCTATTTTAACATGTTTAACCCTATTGACACAGAAAAATTTCTTAACCTTTTCGATTTCAAAGAAAATTTGGTTATCTTTGATAATTTGAGCATCTTCAAAGCTGTTTGTGGCATTTAACAAACAGCCTTTGATCGCTTTTTAATAAACGTCTTAATTTTACATGTCATCTATGATTTGCCTTTACTATTGATTCTAGTTAACCTCAATAGAAACTATTTTTCAATTGTGGAATGAGGGCTTCAATAAAGTACTTTGCATTTGACTACACAATTGCATTATTCCAAAAAAAAGCAATCCGGTCTATACTTAATGTTGGATGGCGTGACCGCACAGCTAAACTTTTTACTCATATTGGTTTATTTAACATTTTCAAACTGTTTAAGTTTAATGTCTGTTGCTTTACTGTATGACCCCGTTCCATTCACCCTAGCTGATGCATTCTACAAAAACCACCAAGTCCACAATTATTCCACAAGACAATCGTCTCAATTTCACCACTCTCGTTCTCACAATAATTCCTGTGCAAAATCCATTTTCGCCTGTGGTCCTATCATATGGAATGAATTACCCCCCACCATCCAAAATAAAAAAGTTAGTTTAATCACATTCAAAACACACTTAAGAACACTCATGCTGAATAACTAGTAAGTTTTCCTAAATGGTCTCCTAGTCGTCTTCTGTCGAGTCTTTTTTTCTTTTACATAGTAGTTAAGTTCTCTAGCGCGCCTATAATTTACAAGTTGCAGCTTTTGCTATAATGTAGAGTTAGTTAAGACAAAGCAAGTGAACTAAACATCCGGAACTCAAAGTCCTCATTAAATTTGACCAGGAATTTCATTGATCACCTGTAGACTATAAAAAACTAGTATAGGCCAGAAGTGACAGGTTGAAGAATTTTAGTTATTATCATTAGTGCTATTGTCATTGTTACCTCCACCACCATTTGTTATCATCATAGTTTAATACTGCTAATAAATCATCCAATTATACTTGTAATAAAGCGAGATGTTTTTTATACCTTGTTTCGCGAACTTATTTTTTTAAACATCGTCAGACAGGCCCGTAGCCAGGTTCTTTCAAGTGGGGGTTTTCTAGGCGTGAGGTCCACGGTCAAAACCCAAGTGGGGTCGGCGAAACCCCCAAAGCAAGAGGATGTTTGTGCTTTATGAGTCTAAATAATGCTATAAAAGCAGATATGTTTGAAAACGTCTGTGTCTGGGTGGGTCTGCAGTGCATTAGTTGGGTTGGAGGACTTACTCGGGAAATTTGAAGAGGGAGTTCGCCAAAAAAGAGGGGGGTTTGCTAGAAAAGGGGGTTCTCCCGAACCATAAAACCCACCCTCCCCTGTATACAGGCATGTCAGAGGAGAGCGGAAAAAAATTAAAATAAAATTTTGTTTTTTTACTTAGCAAATAGATTTGCCAAAAACATCCAGACCGAGACAGGTGCACTAATTGGTCAAAAATAAAATTTTACTTTTATTCGAAATTATCATCATTGGCGAGCGGGGGGTTTGCTAAACAAGGTATAAAGAAAGCCTTGCCTAATGAGGAATACCATACATTTGATTTCTTTTAATAAAATAGCAGAAAACACCATGAACACAAAACAAACTATAAAAATAAAAACTATTCAATGACACCATTTCATTGTGTACATGGTTTCTGGAATAAGTTTCTGTATTTAATCATTTGACAGTACCTATATATTAAGTTGCATTCTTATGTAAATGGCTGGCTACTCAATGTTGAATGATGATTTAATTAAAATAATTGAACAAATTCCAATAAAGTTTTTAATGAGTTCCAGACAATGCCTTTATATCTGTGCCAAAAGTGGTAGCAACGATTATTCGGTGGTCGGAATAAGATGACTCCCTTGTACTCTTCCAAAAAGTTGAAAGATACCTGTGTGAACATTCCAAACCATTTTTTATAAGTTTGTTAAAGTTTGTACCGCAAACCAAAAAAATGCCCAAGTTGTACACTGCGATATACACCACTACTACTTAATATTCTGTAAAGAACAATGTTCAGAATATGATACAGTGTTTCAAATATGTTGCTCTATCAATGAATGATGAGATCTTATTAAGTACCGGTGCTTATTAATTATTATGTTAATCTGGGTGGAGCCCAGTGTTGATTGGTTGAAAAATGAACAATGAATTATTGTAGATAGTTACAATAATTGTCATTGTTGTCTCAAGCTGGGCTTACCAACATACTACTGTACACACTTGGTAGCTACATAGATAATTGTTTTGTAGAATATTAGTAATATTAGTTTACACACTTACATTAGTGCAATGCACAAAATCTCTTGAATCTAACAATTATTTGGCAAAGAGCACCCTGCTTGATGCAATCTTGTATACTGGACCTACTGTAGCTCATTTTGATAGTTTTAAACCTACAGTATGGTAGACAACCTTTACAAGGCATATAGACTGTAAAATACTGTATTTATTTTCGAAAAAGAAATTTTTGGCCAGTCCTCTGGCCTTCATCAGCTCTGGCCTTCATCAGTAAAGCTGATGAGGGCCAGAGGACTGGCCGAAAGTTTCTTTTGAAAATAAATACAGTGTTTTACAATCTACATGCTTTGTTGTCATAATTTTTTGTTTCAACGACTAATATATAATTTGAAGAACACACATGGATTTACAATGTTCCAACTGGTCCAACTGGAATTTTTAACTGGGACCAGTTGGAAGTGTCCAATTTCCGTGACGGAAAATTACCAGTTCAACCGAGTTAAACCTAGTTCAACTGGGATCAACTGGAATTTAGACCTGGGCGCTTATGAACAAAACATACCACTGGACTTTCTTTATATATTTAGTCAAGTAGTAAGACCTGTCACTGATAATACCCTGTTTTTTAAGACTATGCTTAGTGCTAGGCTAGGTCTAGCACCTAGCCTATTGATATTAGGTCTGCGCTGAGAGAGCCAACTAGGCCTAGGGCCTCTTAAGACGCCATATAGGCCTATTTCAGTGAGTAGGGTAGGCCTAGCCTAGCCTGGATTTAATCACATATAAAACTTCGATCTTGAAATAAGTGATGTAATAAAGTTCAAATATTACCATGAACATCTTTCTGTGATGCATCATACTGTCGTAGAAGTGCAGATAGTCGTCGAATATTATCATGAAAAACGCACTCATGTAATGGGTACTTGTTCGTTATATCAACAGCCATGGTTGTTATTATTTCCGTGATAGTGTTCACAGCCGTAGTGCCCTCTATAGTATATAGTAACTATTAATACCAAAGAGTATAAAACTGTTATTACTGTACTCTAGATCTTATACTGTACTTTTTACATACAAGGGCCTAATATATGTCAATTGCAGTACAGTAATTCAATTTATTTGTATTCATTCAAGTGAATACCAACCAAAAATGATAATTTTCTTATTTGTATGTTTTTATGCAACGAAACATATTAAAAGACAAAACAATTTTGTATTTGAATTGAAAACAAGTCGAAATGTTTTGAATTTAGTCAAATTCATTTGCATTTAAGTTATAGTTAATCAAAATGCACTTTAATTTAATGTGAAATGAATTTCGCTTAAGTACAAATCAGGACGCCCATTTCTCATATGTAGAATTAAATTACACTTAAGTGAAATATATTCCAATTAAGTGCTACCGTAATTGTTAGATGATGCGACACATTAGCGAATGTTTTCGGAATGAGCCGGTAATAATGGCAGTGTGTGAGTATGGATGGGCTTCTGCAAAACCAACAAATAGTTTTTAAAAGACCATAAGATTGGTAATTGATAATTATGTCTATATGATTATTGTGTATTGGATGGTGTTGGCGACTGGATGTACTTTGACAAACATTACCATAAAGCCCGAACGTATGAAAATACAAACTTTTCTAAAAGCAAGGATGGAATGGTGTTGGTTACTTTGCAATAATTTTAAAGATTTTTTTTAGTTAATATATGGATATCATCATCAGTTTCGTTATCATCATCATCATCATCATCATCATCATCATCATCATCATAATCGTCACTATCAGAGTGATCTGCATCATCATTATATCACTCATCATAATAATCATTATAAGCCTATAATCATCATTATCATTATCATCATCATCGTCATTATCATCATCACCATCATCATCACCATCATCATTATCATCATCATCATCAGTATAATCATCATCATCATCACCATCATTCTCATCATCATCATCGCCATCATCATCATCATCATCATCATTATTACCATTATAATGAGGCCAGTTTAAATAAGCGTTCCTTTGACATTTTGTTAAACAAGTTCTCGTAATCTCGAAAACTCCGATCAGGGCAGTATAATAGAGGAAGTAGAGTATATTGGCCTAACGGCCGCCCATACAAGAAAGATCTCCAGTATTAATCAACCAGCCGAGTGTTTATACAGCTCCTGAACGGAGCTAAAAATTTACCTTGAATATCTTTAGATTTATAAGTGCATATTACTCCAATGACGTGATGAAGGTTGATGAAAAATATAAATAAATTAGCAGTGTGTATACGAAAATAACCCACCACAAAGAAAATGAACAAAGTTCCGATTAAACTTTATTGGTACGCACTCGTTTAACGCCGGAGCCATGGAACTTGATGCTCACCATAAGTGTTCTCATTACAAAATACATCTGAAATAACACCAATAAAATGTCCTGCTATGCTATTAGAACACAAGTGATCTCATTTTATGCTTTTATAAGTCTCAAAATTTAGTTTACATTATTAATTGTCGGGTTTGTTCCTAAAGTTTTAATACAGATAAATGGTTTGACGACTATTTTATATTATTAACAAATACAATTATGACTATAATAATAATTATTATTATTATAATACAAATATTAATATTGCGTTCATAACGTATTTGAATAGACTCTGTTTGAACACATTACAGGTCTTTAACAAATTGTTCAATCGAAGTTATTGGGAAGTTCGTGATTTTTAGCTTCGTCACATTTTTTAAGTGGAACCCATTACATGCCTGATTTTGTTTTTGTATAAAACGATATCAATGACATATAGGTGGGGGATGTTCTTTACAAAAATATCAACGACATAATGGGAAGAGAAGAAAGTGGAGGGGGTTAACAGTATGTTATGAGAATAACAACAATATTTGTATGGTGTCTTTCAAGGTAAGCAATACCGGTAGGTCACGTGTAGCTTAAGTGTAGGTTTTCTGGTAATTAAAAAAAAACCAAACAAACCATGAATAATCCCCAATCTCTAAGCCGATAGAAACATAAGTCCATTCTTCAAGCAATGCCAGTATGTGTTACATAGGTATTGATACCTACTTCAGCTAACCAGTCCAAGACCTAATAAATAGTAATAGTCCACACAATGTATGGGCGAACCTGTTTGCTTCTATATCGCAAATGGGTTTTGTACAAAAAGACGAGTAACCCTCTCTATCTACTTTTGATCATTCTATTTCGATGCAAGATCTGAACATACATGTTTTAGGTCCATACCAACATCGCTGATGCATTCAAACGCGCATTTCTTCTGTTGTTGTTTACACTTGCCTACACAGTAGAAATCTTGCGAAATAACACATGCCTTTGAGCAGTCCACGAACTCTAGGTTGCAGAATCCGTTGTAGCAATCTACGAATTTATAGGCAATAATAACAATAATTATTTTGATAATATTAACAATATAATGACAATGATAATAATAACAACAATAATGATAGGCCCGTGATGATGACTATAACGATGATGATGATGATGATGATGATGATGATGATGATAACGATGATGATGATGATGATGATGATGATAACGATGATGATGATGATGATGAAGAAAACAATGACGATTGCACTGGTTATGGTAGGCAAATGGTGATGGTAATAATAATAATGATAATACCTATTTAAAAATACAAGGTTAATGTTCATTATTGATAGTAGTAACATTCTATTACTAATGTCTTTTTACTAGTAAGCCTAGAGAGTACAATAATTATATTATTCATTCAATGTATTATGCTTTATATTCTTACCAAAAATGTTTTCTACGTCTTTTAGTTTGACAGCAAACATTTCATTACCTGTAAGTTTGAAACGAACGGGTAAATATAATTACTCAGAAGATCCTGGTAGCACATTATAGATAAACAAGCCTATACACTTGTGCAATAATACGCATGCGTGGTAAGTAATGAACTTTACAAAATGTGTATTTATTACATTAATAATGACAAAAAAGTTGAATGAGGAAGCAAAACGTATAATGTACTGTTAGAAACATTGGATGGTGCGACATGTTTGCATATACATACATATATACGTGGTTTAATTGTCTTTACAGCACGGAAGTGGGTTTGTTCTTGGGGCGGTGCTTGCCATATTTGTAAGCTCTGTGATGTTATCAAATAAAAAAATAAAAAATTACCTGATGTTGAACTGGCTTTCTTATTGACCCAATATACTGAAAAAGAAATTATTTTATTAAAACCATGTACTGAGAAGGATATATAT